AGGGGCTTTTAAAGTGAACAGGCTGCAATTCGGGGTCAACGTAGCACCTGGGATTTTTCAGGGCCTCATGGAACGTCTACTAAGGGGGGTACCTGGCACAGTGCCCTATTTTGACGACGTGCTGATTGCGGGCGGGTCTGAACAGGAACTACTGGACCGGGTTAAAGAGGTCCTCAGGCGTTTTCAAAATGCCGGCCTCAGAGTTAAGCGCTCAAAATGCACGCTCGGGGTGGAAAGTGTGGACTTCCTGGGGTTTCGCATTGACGCAGAGGGAGTCCACCCCACGGATGAGAAGGTATCTGCAATCCAAAACGCCCCCAGGCCGGTGAGTAAGAAGGAGCTCCAATCCTTTTTAGGACTCCTGAATTTTTATCATGCGTTTTTACCGCATAAGGCATCAGTGGCGGCCCCTTTGCACGCGCTTTTGCACAAGGAGGCAAAATGGAAGTGGGGGCAGGCCGAGGAAAAGGCTTTTGTGGGAGTCAAGGAGCTGCTGACATCTAATGCCGTACTCACGCATTATGATGAACACAAGCTCCTGGTGTTAGCTGCTGACGCTTCACCGTTTGGAGTAGGCGCAGTTTTAAGCCATCTGATGCCTGATGGGAGCGAAGCGCCTATCGCTTTTTATTCTAGATCACTATCTGCGGCAGAGCGGAACTATGCCCAGATAGACAAGGAGGGTCTGGCGTTGGTAGCGGCTGTCAAAAAGTTCCATGATTTTATTTTTGGCAGACGATTTTTGCTGGTCACTGACCACAAGCCGCTACTGGGGATTTTTGCGCCCGATAAGCAATTGCCAAACATCATGTCCCCACGCATGCTTAGATGGGCGATATTTTTGCAGGCTTATGATTTTGACTTAGAGCACCGGCCTGGGAAAGCGATTGGGCATGCGGATGCCCTCAGCCGGTGCCCGGTGCCGGACATTGGCGCAGACCCTGCCCCCGCCTGTGAGGTCTTGGCAATTGAGGAGCTTCCTCGACCCCCGGTATCATCCAGGGACATTGCAGCACACACGGCCAAGGATAGCGTGCTGTCCCGAGTATTAAACTGGGTTTGGAGGGGGTGGCCGGTTGGAAGCGTTGAACCGGAGTTCGGCCCTTACAAAAGCCGTCAAAATGAACTATCCATTTCTAAGGGCTGTGTATTATGGGGGAACAGGGTGGTGGTTCCTGACAAACTCAGGACGAGAGTGTTAGAGTCGCTGCACGAGGGTCACCCCGGTATGGTACACACCAAAGCGTTGGCCAGAGGGTATGTCTGGTGGCCGGGGCTGGACAAAGAGATCGAAGAATGGGTACGAGGGTGTCCCAAATGCCAGCAAGTCAGACCCGATCCCCCACAAGCTACACCCCAAGGCTGGGAGTCATCTGGTAAACCCTGGGCCAGATTGCATATAGATTTTGCTGGCCCTCTCCAAGGGCAAATGTTCCTAATTGTGGTGGACGCTATGTCCAAATGGCTGGAGGTCGTGCATATGAAATCGACCACATCACTTGCTGTGATCCATGCGCTCCGCCGACTTTTTGCCACCCACGGGTTGCCTGACGTCATCGTCAGTGACAACGGGCCTCAATTTGTGTCTGAGGAATTTAGGCTCTTCCTCACGAGTAATGGCATACGCCAAATGACTTCGGCCCCTTTCCATCCGGCATCTAATGGCCAAGCCGAACGGATGGTCAGGACGGCCAAAGAGGCCCTGGGTAAAATGGACGAAGGGGACTGGAGCCAGAGGCTGGGCTCCTTTCTTTTGCTGCAGCACACCACCCCCTGTAGTGCTACAGGCCGTAGTCCGGCCGAATTGTTAATGGGGCGGAGACTCACGACCCGTTTGAACCGTATGCACCCAGACCTATCAGAAGATCAGTCCGAGCGTACCACTGCGCAACCGAAGGTGCGCATGTTTGAAAAAGGGGACAAGGTTTTCGCACGAAATTATGCAAACGGGCACTTGTGGCTTCCTGGGGTTATATCCGACTCTGTGGGTACTCGAATGTATGTGGTGCAGTTAGCTGACGGTCGAATATGGCGGCGCCACATAGATCAGTTAAGGAGACGTTGGGCTAGGGACAGCGCTGACTCTCCGACGGCTGAATCCCCTGATGTCGAGTGGACACCCCCAGAGCAGGCGGTGAGTACCGAAAGGCCCGGTACTGTCCCCGAGTCAGGGCAGAACCCTGTGTGCGGGGCTGAAATCCCAGTCGAGTCTGTGCCTGATCCAGGCTGTAGTGGACCCCACTCTGACCCACAACCTTGTCTGCCCGTGGAGCCTGCACCGCTCCGCAGGTCCCAGCGTTCGCGGCAAATGCCGACTTATCTGAAGGACTATGAGTGTAAATACTGTTGGAATAACTGATGTACAAAGGTTGATTGCATGTTTGTAAATAATAAAACAATTGGGATGATGGCTTAACTTAGGGGGGAGGAATTGTAATGTATTGAAATGATTACATGAATCACCTCATAGGACTCCCATGTTAAGCTTCGAGCCAGACCAGGGCTCCTCTGAGCGAACTTCCTATTGGTCGCTTCGTAACAGCGACCAATCAGAACGATACCATTCCCTAGGAGGGAAAGACTCCCATTGGTCTTTATTCTAGCAATCTCATTGGTTGTTATTTGTAAATAGGCGTGGCTACATTAGCCCGGTTATGTTTAAAAGGAGCATAAGCTCCCACTGTTTTCTGTTCTGGTTTCTTACTGAGTTAGTGCTTGCTCGTTACTTCCAATAAAGCTGAATCACTTGCTGAATCACTGTACGAGTCCTTTGTTAGCGCGATCTAACAGGTTGGCTGTGCAGCGCTTGCAAAAGCTGATCAGGCTTGGACATTAAATACAAACAACTAAATGAAGAATAAAGCGAGTTGCCCTGCAAGAAGAACTGAAATTAACTAATCAGAACTCATTTGTCTCATGATTGCAAGACCAGAAATCCTATGCTTCCTTACTTTTGTGCTCTTGCAATGTCCAGTTTTTATGGGAGGAGACTGTCTCTTTCTCCAGTGAAAGGTCCAGGGGAGAGCATTAAGCTTTTAGACCCTTTCCAGACCTGAAACACTTGGTGCACTGCAAAAATCTGTCATACCCTCAGGTCATCCTTGAGCTCTTTAATTATTGAGCATTTGCAGATACACCCCTCTGCCTGCCCAGCTTCCTTCCAGCGTAGCGCGTTCCTGTCATCCTCTGCATCATTAATAAAGCAATGCCCTATGCTTGCCAGCCAGGCTGCCAGTGGTTCTACCTGTTCTGTGGAATAAGCAAAAGTGCTTCCCCTCCCTTCATGTGCTATGCCTCACCTTACAGGGTTCCTCTTGCGTCTGATGGGGCTCCATTACCACCTTGACCCCTTTCGATTGCTTTATTTTAGTGGAAATAATATCATCACTGACATTCTGGTTAACTTCCCTCCTGTGGTTCCCCTGTGGATCCACTTTGTTCCAGATTTCGTTGATCTAAATCAAAAGGCATCTCTCAGTTGTAAAACTGTCTGCATCAGCAAAGCAAACAGCGGGAGAGAACCTGGCCTTTTTCATGCCTGCTGCGACAACATACTCCGTGTTTAAAAAAAAAAAATCCAACCAACTATAACTTGAAACTAAGCACTGGACTAAATAAATAAGATTTGCCCCTTTTACTCTTCCCCTTTTTTAAAAAAAAAAAAGAATAGATGGCCAGGTTGTTGGGGGGTTTTGTATTTTTGCATACGTGTGCGTGTGCCTGTGCCTGTGCCTGGAAGTCATGGTGACCTCTGGTGACTCCTACTGGGACATGGAGGATGTTCAGAGAAGCGGTAGAAAACAACCATCCTGATGTGGTCGCCCGCTAGGCAGATAACAATTCAAAACCAAACATATAACTAATTTATTTACTTCATTCATTTATACACCGCCTTTCCGCCCAATGGGGACACAAGCGGCTTACAACATACTCTTTCTTTTCCCTCCATGTTATCCTTACAACAACCCTGTGAGATAGGTTAGGATGAGAGTGTGTGACTGGCCCAAGGTCACCCAGTGAGCTTCCATGGCATGAGTGGGGATTTGAACCTGGGTCTCCCAGATACTAGTCAGGCACTCTTAACCCCTACACCACTCTCGCTGTCTCAATAAAAACATTGGTTGAAACTGGTTGACATTAAAATATGGTGGAAATTCCTTTGGAAATTAGACAAGACCAGGAGAGAGATGACCATTCAGGAGAGAGAGATGACCATTCAGATATTTTTAAATGAATATAAGCAAAATCCTTAGTTTGTACAGACAACCAGGTGTTTTGACAATTCAGGCTGTGCATCGGTATGTAATATGAGATCAGAGGTTGCTACTGAATGAATGCTAGCCACATGTTGAGCAAAAGGCAATCCTGGGCAAGGTCCTTCATCTGGTGAAGCAGAGCTTCCTACGTCTCCGCTTCATTCTCACACCGCAGCTGCGAAAGGAACTTTCAGAGATGAAGACATGTCACATTTTATTCCCTGTATGAATGATATTATCTTGTGGGTGGGCATTTCTCTTTCATCTCTCTACAGGAAAGAGGTTGCTGTTGACAGGTGGCTCTTGGAGGGGGAAAAAGGTATTGTTTTGTACTCCCAAGGGTGGCTGTCACAGCGCCAAACACCTTTCATCACAGACATCTGACCTCTGCACTGTATTCTGTATGCCTGCATAGTGAGATCAAAAGATCCCCTCAGAATAGCATGAAACACAGATTGACTTTTTCACACTAGATTCTATCCAGTAACAGGGATCTGAACTGTGGCCAGTTCCGAGCTAACATCCTGTCACTCATCTCCTCTCCGTCCCTATAGTTTTATAATTCAGGATGGCACAGCGACTTTTCTAGAAGAAAAAGTAGACTCCCTCCGAAATTATTTCTTTCCATTATGACTTGGGGTCTACCAGGACAAGTTCACCAGCTTGTCCTTCATGGAAACAACCAGGGCTTCCTGATGCTGTAAAGTGACAGGGGGTCAAGCTTTTGTTCTGCTCTACTTGCAGGTGTTTCTGAAGAGCGATCGTGTTGCCAGAATGGTGCAGAGTGGGGGATTCTCAGCAAATGACTCCCGGGAAGTCTTCAAGAAGCACATCGAAAAAAGAGTCCGTAGCCTCCCTGAGATTGATGGCCTCAGCAAGGAGACTGTCCTGAGTTCCTGGATGGCAAAATTTGATGCGATATATCGCGGTGAAGAGGATCCCCGCAAAGCACAGGCCAGAATGACAGCAAGTGCCGCTTCGGAGCTCATTCTCAGCAAAGAGCAGCTGTACGAGATGTTCCAGAACATCTTGGGAATCAAGAAATTTGAGCATCAGCTTCTATACAACGCATGTCAGGTAAGACCCCCTGTGGTTGAAGGAACCAACTCTTTGCATTATTCATAATATTGCTAGTGCCACCAAGCAGAGATGGCATTTTCAGCTGCCCAGTTGTGCGGAAATATGCTCTGTACAAGATTACTCTGGTGAATCAGATAATGTCTGGTTTTATGGTATTCTGTGGTTAATGTCTTGAATTGTTTTGCCTCCAATTCAGAAATATAGATGGTACATTATGGTTGCCATGGGAATTATTTTATTTTGGAATACATTTAACTGATTTAGTTTTTATTTATTGGCACTCCTAATTGGAGTTTTTAAATTATGACCTTTTATGTCTTTTTTATAATGGGCGCTTTATTCATATTGTTTTTATTGTGCTTTCTATAATCATGTGATTCATTTTGTAAGCTGCCTTGAGTGCCACAAGAGAGAAAAGCAGCCAATAAATGTTTTAAATAAATAGAAAGCCCTCTCCACTCTTTACCTCCTTTAATATATATCCAAACATTCATGTAATAAGTTGGCTCATCCCAGTAGAAATGGCAAAAGCTACTGAGGAGGAGCAGGAAACTCATTAAGTGATGGCTTAGATTAACATCATGAGTGCTGTGGTTGGGAGTATGAAACCATAATGTACATACTGGTCTTTTGATCAGACAATCAGGTATTGCTGTATAAAAGGTACAGGCCAGGGCTATTTTTGTGCAGGAACGCACAGGAACAGAGTTCCGGCTGACTCCCAAGTTGGCCACGCCCAGCAGGAACTCATTAGCATAATAGGCCACACCCAACGGAAGAAACTCATTAGGATTGGCTACATTAGTGGTGTGTGGCCTAACATGCAAAGGAGTCCCTGCTACAAAAAAGCCCTGGGGTTTGACAACAAACAAGGTAAACAGAATAACAAGCAAAAGGTGGGTGTGGCTGGATAACCACACTTCTGGTAACATGAGGGTGCGGCCTAATGTGCTAATGAGCTGTGCTGTCGGGGTGTGGCCTATTATGCTAATGAGTTCCTGCTGGGCTTTTTCTGCAAAAAGAGCCCTGAGGTTCACCATTTACACATGCTGAGACCACGGTAACAGTGCTCAGGTTTATTTACCACAAGAGCCATGGGAGTTAACTCTGGTTCTTGGGGGAAGTAATACGACTGTCTATGGGTCATTTAAGGCTGCACTCATTTAAGCAAAGCCTCCTGATAGTGCCACCCTGCAAACAAGTGAAATCAGCAACTGCTTGCTCACATGCACTCTTTTGTGGTGGCTCCCACACAATGGAATGGCCTGCTTGAGGCTATTAGGAAGTCTCCCACACTCCTGTCATTTCACAGAATGTGAATTTTTATAAAGGGAGAAGAACTATAGTATAATGGATCAGCTCAGGAGTTGATTTCTATAAGGAATAAACTTTTCCTACATTGATCATTTTGTTACCTTAGACAACTGTTCTTCAATTCCAAGCCACATTGAATTCTTTTGATTGATTAAGAATCTTGCGGTCAGACTGAGTTTTTTTGTTTGCTTGTGTTTTCTTCCCAGTCCCACTGCATCATTTTGTTTTATTAAGAACCTTTGTTGTTAGACTGAATTGTTTTATCACATATTGTACTCTGCTTGCTGATTAACCGAATAGTCTTTTTCCATGCCTGTAATCTGTCCTACCTCACAGCCACAGGAATCTTTGCTGTTCGATGTAATCCACTTGCTGATTGACTGAAAAGTTCTTATATTTGTAATTAGGACTGCCAAGCCGCGGCGGGGGATCCGTGCGTCTTCACAGGATCCCTGCCGCGGGGGACAGCAATATGCGTTGCACCGCCGTCGCCAGAATGTGACGCTACACGTCGCTCTGGCAACGGGACTCCAAACAGCCCCGTTGCCAGAGCGACGCGTAGCATCACATCCTGGCAACGGCGGTGCAACGCGTATCGCTGTCCCCCGCAGCAGGGATCCTGTGAAGACGCACGGCTCCCCCGCCACGGCTTGGCAGCCCTATTTGTAATCCACCTTGAGTCCCATTGAGAAAGACATAATAATAATAATAGTAGTAGTAGTAGTAGTAGTAGTAGTAGTAGTAGTAATAATAATAGAAGGAGGAGGAGGAGGAGGTGGTGGTGGTGGAATGGTCATGCAGTAAAATTAATCCTGTTGTTTTGGGTCTCCTAATTCTGCAGTGTTGGTATCTGTATGGAAGAAGTGGGCAACCAGTCAGGAATCTCAGGGATTCCCTATAGCAATGAGAATGGTTTTAGGAGAGTGGGAAAGATTATAAGTGTGTGAGAGTTTGCAGTACAATACTGAGGAAGCCTTTCCATGCTGATTATTCATTGGTGCTTCCTACATGCTTCACTTGGCATGCGTTCTGGTGGGAGGATACTGAGGATTTGACATGCAATCTCATCAGCCCTGCTTCAGAGCTTTAACTTTGACTGCAGCTGATTTATACTTTATACATTCACTTTTATCTGGCTGGCTAAACCAGCTAAGAATAAAAATGGATTCCCCAGTACTATGCGTCCAAGGCTGGTGCTGTTTTAGGAAGGTCTCTAGAAGTATGACTTTTGCTAATATGGTGTGGCATAGTGGTTTAGAGTGTCAGACTAGTATCTAGGAGACTCAGGTTCAAATCCTCACTTGTACCATGGAAGCTCGCTGGGTGACATTGGACCAGTCACACTCTCTCAGCCTAACCTACCTCACAAGGTTGCTGTGAGGATAAAATGGAGGAGAGGAGATTGCTGTTAGCCACTTTGGGTTCCCATTGGAGACAAAGGTGAGGTTGAATAAATAATTGAATTAATTAAATAAATGAATTAATAAAATGAAATAAAACTACTTTTATATAGCAAGAGTAGCAATATACAGGAACATAATGGCAACATTTGCTGATCAGAGGATTTTCATAGCTTACATTACACTATAGGCAAGGCACGAGGGCAGATAGTGGGTAATGAATGACTACTGGTGATGAGGTCAGGGAAAATCAGACAGCAGTGGAGGAAACATAGAGCTGGAAGGGACATCAAGGATCATCTTGTCCAACCCACTGCACAATGCAGGAAATTCACAACTATCTCCCACTCCTCCAGTGACCCCTGCTCTATGCCTTGAAGAAGGCAATAAAAACCCTCCAGGATCCAGCAGTGAGGTTCAGAAAAGTTCTTAGTGGTTATGAGGAGGAAGTTGGAAGAGGACAGAAAAAAAATGGCTTTATGGTTAACATTTACAATATTTATACTATCAAAACAGAGAGCTCTCAAAGCAGCTCACAATCATAAACATTAGAACAATACAGCAATAAAAACCAGTATAATAAATAATAAAACAGCAGCATCTTAAAAAATCATAATATTACGTCTTGGTAGGCTGGATAAATAACAGAGAGCTCAGACTAGGAAAAGCACACTTGTACCTATACATACCAACCAAAAGCCTGGAAAAAACAAATATGCATTTTTTAACCTTGCACCTAAAAGTCAATAAGCTTGGTACTAGGGAAACAATTGTGTGTGGGGGGGGGGGGAATTCCAAAGTTGAGGTCCCACAACATAGAAACCTCACCTTTGGTGACAACACACCTCTACAGAAAATGAAGGGGTAGGTGGTTCCTATGGGAGCAGGTTGTCATTAAAGTACCCAGACCGTTTATGATTTTAAAGGCAACAGTTTGAATTGTTCCTGGAAACAGTTTGGCAGCTAATGTTACTCCTTCAGAACCAACAAGGTATATTCTCTATAACTGATGCCAGCCAGCAATCTGATCACAGCATTTGAATGTCTTCAAAGTTAGTCCCATCTAGAGTGGGCTGCATAAAGGCCATAAACGGCAACTTTCCTACCTCCTCCTTCCTCTGTAGTCTTCCTTGATTCTTGAAACTGTGTTCTTGTGGGTCCTTGGGCCTTCAGGAATATTATAGGCATCCAAGTGGGGAAATCAGCAAAAATCTCCCCCCCCCACACACACACAGACACACTTCCATGAACAGAAGTAACTAGTATGGATGGAAATTATAACAGCAAAAAGAAAGGGAGGTTAGGATCCAACCTAACAGGTGTATTGCTGTCAAAGCAAAAGTAAACAGATATACTGAAATTGTATAAATGTGTGGGTGGGCTATATAAGTGAACTAAGGTTGCGGTCACACATGCCCGTTGGAGGGGAGGGGGAGCGAAGCTATTTCCTCCAGATGAATTTGACTCGCAGTTGCGATATCACACATCCCTCAGCCGTTCACTGTGTGATCAGATGCCATTGTGGGTGAGTCGGGGAGTTTTTTGCCGTGTGTTTCCCATGCTCATAAATGAGGAATCACACCTCCGCACTGAGGGTTCCCCATGGAGTATGTGATTATGCGCAGGCTGCGAAGTGGATGGGAACAGCACCGAGTCGGGATGGAATGAACAGACGATCCCGACAGCTTGAGAGTGTGCTTGAGCGATCAGACAGGGGAAAGTCTGTCCATAGCCTGTTGGAACAAGTTAGAGTCGGACTTCCCCCGGTGTCTTTTAACTCCGCTTCTGCAGTGGAGCAGCATGGGTTGCCAACGACTGTGGGGCGTTTCCCAGATGTTGCTGTCTGATCGTGCCCTTTAGATCCATCAGGCATTCGCAGGTATGTCAGATCTAAAGGCATGCATGATCGCAGCCCAATTCGTTCTTTATTGTAACGCTTGTGCTCCACAGTGCCTCAAGGGACAGGGACACCTGTCACGCTGTGTTCCCTTTTTGCCCACCCTCATCATTAGCTGGTATGAGCCCTTTGTCTGCCCTCTTTTATTTTTTATTTTTCAAAAAAAAATTATTTTGGATTAACATGTTCAGCATTTAACAATCAACCAACAAATCCATTTCTTTTTAACTCCTACCCCCCCCCTTTTGATGGCTTCCCGCAATGCTTCCCCCTACCACAAACATTTTCTAATATCAAGGTTCTGCCCTCTTTTATTCACAGCATAAAGGGTCCTGTCCAATGTTCCCTCTAAGCTGCGGAATCTTGTAAGCAAAAATTCTATCTTG